CGTGTACCAGTTAAATGTTGTTATCATCGGTGTAACGGCATGTGTTTGCCTGTTTGCTTTTCCCCTCAAAGCTGGCTTCAGTCCCCAATGATACAACTTGACCCATTAGGTATTCTACCCAAGTATTTCTTTCCAAGTAGCGGCGTGTCATACATCTGTTTTAAAGAATTTCCACAAATAATTGGGAAAAAAAGGGAACTCAGCAGGGGATATGGGGCCATTATCATACAATGCAATTACAGCAATCCAGGTAGAAACTGCCTACCTTCAGGAGAAATACAGATCCTCGTGAATCACGCATCTTTTATGTTCTCGAAACAGATGATATGGGAAGGATTTCCTTCCCAATTTCAAAAGGGTGTCCTTTCGCTTTTTCCACAGAAGATAGATTAGAGTTTTTTTCATCAAAGCCTCCCAAAGCTCTGTGTTTAATCACATTATGGCATTTCCTGCACAGCCCCAGTATGGTTGCAGGGCTCAGGTTTAAAAACCGGCAATGGGTTTCAATTTTTACCAGCCATTTGTAAAATTCATGGTCTGCTGTCATGGACTGAACACTGTATCACTCTTTGATTTCTCTCTTCTATCATCAGCCCTGACATTAACGGATAAGATTTGATCCAGATAGGATTTGATCTTTAACATTAAACTAAGTCCACGGTCCCAATCCATCCAGAGTGCCATCAATCACAATACTAATCTCCTTCTGGTTTCCCTTTACACTTTTCGCACAGACCAACACACTCTGTCTCACTGCTGCTCTTTTCTAGGGAAGTTGGTAAGATTTGTTTGTAAATGCTGTGGTGGAAAAACAATATTGAGAAAAATAATAATGTCTTTAAAGTCGACCATGCACACAATGCTGATAATAGAAAGGCAATCATCGATGCAGATTCACATCAAGTATGTCGAGCACAGAACACAGACAGCTTTTCCACATAACACAAGTTTAAAATGTCACCAAATCTGGTTATATCTGGTTATTTTAGCACATAAGCAGAAGGTTAATCCAAAACAGATATGCTGTACCTATTTCAATCCTTATGCATTATTTATGGAAGAACTTTATGTTTATGTGAATAAGAAGTCTTTGCAGTGAGTGCACTGCAATTGTGATATTTTCACAAACGACACTAAGAGATGCAATACAAAAATATTCTTTGGACTGTTCAATTATTTCAATTATTCAAGATTGAAATATATTGCCACATTTGGGCATGTCTTACTCTGGAAGACCAAAATGAGAGAAAGTGGTAAAGCTGCAGATCAGTCATTAAAGCTTGCAGGCCATTTATCACTTAGAAACAGGTATATTCTATTGGAGAACTTGCATTTTAAGCAATTTTACATCCCATTCTAAATGTAGATGAGAAAATTATGTTGAATGAGCTTGATGTTGATGGATTCTTTGATGCTTATTTAAGTAGTTGGTATGACAGATAGCACAATGAAAGAGCTCTCCCAGCATGAACCGTTTGCATTTTTAATGAACCCTTCAGTCAGTGTACTGTATAAATTATCATTATTGTTCCACTTTTTATAAAACGGGTCTTAGTAAACAGAAAGGAGCTTGACCTCCACGGACCAAAACAAATTATTTTCTGGTAAATTGGCTTAATGGTCGACAAATTAATTATACACTGAAGGTTTAGGAGGTTATCTGAAATAATCCCACTGTTGGAAAGTTGATTGGCACATGCGTTGGCAATGTTTTCTTAAAAGTGAAAGCTTGTCAATCAACCTCCCTCAATCGAAAGGGTTCGGATATATCAGAAGCAAGCTCGTTATAATCAGTCATATCAGCAACAAGCTGAAATAGCTACTGATGTAATGCCAAATTGACAAAATCTAGGTAAACACTCTCCCTGAATAAACGCTGTAGCCCGCCTCTCATCAGAATTGTAGCTTTAACTGTATTAGTTTTATTACACTGACAGCGTGACAGAATCCTTTTATTGCTACAGTCTCCAGAAGAATCTGTGAAATGAAGACCCACAGAGGAAACACTGCGACTATTATGGGGAATTCAGCCTGTCATTCATTCAGTAAAGTCAATGCCTGCATGTTACAAGATTCCCACGTATTAACACATGTATGTGAGGTAGTTATGAATAGGCAATCTTATGTAAATAAGACTCTAGCAGAAGATATGCGATGATGATAACAAGTGGCTGTGCTGCATTTTCATAAAAGAAGAAGCTAAAGTGAAAACTCAAAATTGCTCTTCTGCAGAAAAACATGAGATTGGGGCTACAAGGCTGCTCTGTCTTATCTTTTTACCCTCACTTTGACAGGGAAACATATGCACTGTATTAAGGCTTACTGTTGTGTGACTCTAAGGAGGAGATCAATAATGCTAAACCTTTTGCTGAAATATTAGGTTTGATTCGAGAAGTGGCAGTCATAAACAAATCATGAGGCCACATATGAGAAAATGCTCTGTGAGTGTGATTGCAAATAGGTAACAGAAAAGAAACACTTTGACTTTGTCATTTTAAGAATTAAATGACTACAGCACTGCTTATGTGTCTCTCTTATACTAGCAGTTAGCACTTAATAAAAGTAAAAAATACATTGTTACATTTGTGTGTGTACTTGCATGTTTTAATTGGAACTTGAATAAGCTATCATTTTGTTAATACTTTAACTATGTATTAATACAAATGTGGTGCTCCATTGAGTAAGGCATCCATTAACGAAGGGTTCATCGTAATGAAGGAACATGCCAACCGGTGTAAATGTGTGGCTATGCACGACCCTGCAGCTCTACGGCTCAGCGGAAGTAGCTTCACTAATCTTTGGCTACAGGCAGAACTTAGTGGGATCAATTCCCCTCTGGATTCCAGGTGTCTCTGGATGAAAAAAAAAGAAGTAAAAATCGCCATTGAGAATCATTGCACAAGAGCTGCCCTCTTTGATGGACAAAGGTAAGCGAGTGTTGGTGACAGGGATACAGTGGGGAGAGACTGATGAGAGGAAACATCATGTTCATAAAATATGGAAGAAAGACTGATATATGATAAGTGCCAGCCTCCCCCTTTGCTTTCCTTTGGTGTCCTAAATCAATACCATCCTCAATTAGGTGCAATTATGGACTTTCTCACAGTATCACTTTTATGAGCCAAACTGACAGCTTGACAGACACCATCAATCGACGTCTTCAAAGGGAACCATGCAATTTTCAAGCAATCTATATCTTACCAGAGAAAACATGGGATGTAGCAACAAAAACTGATGTTGATGTAATATTGTGCTTTTTTAGTCTGTGAATTGCAGGGTTATTGTTTTAAATAAACAACAAGCAGCATGGCGTCTTAAAGTTAAATCTAGCAAACAGGGACATTTGTATAAATATGTCTTGCTGCAGTCTTAAAACATACTCATTCCAAACGATGAAATGTTGTAATCTTAAAAAAAAAAAAAAAAAAAAAACCTAAGTGATATATGAAGAAGAGAATGTCCAGGACAAACTCATCTTTCATTAATCCCCTAGTCTCTGTGCTCTCAGCCTCTTTTCCAACCTCAAATTACAAAGGGGAAGAAATGTCTGTCTTTTTCACTCCTTACGAATACACAGGCTCTACATCAGAACTCAATTTGGTTTGGTAATGAGACTGTGCTTGTGCATTTCCCCATGCAGACAGCCCAATCTTCAGCTGCCTGTACACATGGGGGTTTTTCTTAGCAGGAAGGCTCAGAGGAAATAGACTGGTAAAAGTGTTGCCTTTTTTCATTTGAATGAAACTTGGAGATCACCGCATGTACATTCTTCAAAACGACCTTGAGAAATGTCTGAGATCTGAGGCCCAGCATACTTTTAGCCGGGGCTTTGAAGATTTTTCTGTTCTGATAAAGTCATTTTATCAGCACAAGCACGTGAGAAATTTTCGGGACCACAACCAGGGTGTGAACCACCATCTAAGCCGCGTACACCAGTAAGTGGTGAAACTGTTCATATTGCAATGCTTTGTATGTTTGTGACCTCCTCACGCACAATATTACCATCAGTAAACCACCAGTGGCTGTTACCACTGCACATAAAACACTGATTTTTCTTCACAGTATGCTTGTTACATCTATCAAACCCTCCAAACCCTAAATGCATGGCAGGAACCAAATTTTCAGGTCTCTATTGTGTGTAAAAATCCCAACAGGTTGTAATCAGCTACAGAAAGCCATCTCATTATATGTTACTGCACAATGACCAAATCCAAGTTTTGCCAAATCCCATTTACTTGTTATCTTTTCCCCTCATGACATTAATTCTGACCGCAGGGGGTCAGCACTTGATTGATTGAGTACAGGAGCTCTCAAACTGCGTTGGCGCAAAATGCACACAGAACTTGGTAAAACTTTGTTTGCGACTATTCACTAATACAAAAGTCATGACTATATTTGAGATGTTTCAGGGGAACAAGAAGTTGAAAAATCTAATTACAATAAGTCACATTATAATTGACATCATTATGGTATAATGCATCAAAAAATCTATAAAGGAATTGTAGTTGTGAGACTGAGTCAGACATGACATTTGTTTACATTTAAATTGATCTTGAATTAAAAATGGTTTTGAAATGAAAACAGTGAAGTATATTATTTTGTGAATAATTGCTATTGAGAATCAATACTGTAAACTTAGTGGATTCTTTCTTTTTCTCAAATATGAACAGAAAACCAAACAATACTACACTCCGTGCTTTGCTTTTAAAAGCTAGGCAAAAGCTAAACTTGCTCCCCTGAGCTGCTTGTTCTAATCACATTTGGAGTTAGGCAAGTAGACTTTCAAAAGAATGAACATCTGACGACGGCCTACTTGACGATCCACAATCATTATGAAATGTACAAAGTGTGAAACATGTAATACATGTAAAAGTGTGAAACATGCTTTCATTTTTCAAACCCCTGTTCCAGCGTGCCCATCCTCACTATATAAAGCAAGCCTCAGCAGATCAAAGGGGGATTAAACCAAGTCTGATTTCCACACACTTCAACTAATATTTCTACCAGATAGACTTTTCTGGGTGTGGTAAGAGGATTGCACTTACATAGTCGTCGTATGCTTCGTGTGTGACTGCTAAGAGTGGGGGCCTGTAGCCGGCGTTGGCTGCTGCTCCCCTTGCTCTCTGGGCTTGTGCGTCCCTTGTCGTTGTGGAGAGTTTACTGTGCACCGCAGTCGCTGTCCCCCGAGGTGCTGCTGCACTCCGTCCTGCACCTCTGTGGCCCCTGGTAAGACAGAAGCAGGAAACATTTCATCATCAGAGAATGTTGCTCTGCGCCGATTGCTAATAAGCCAAAGCAATTTTAACTGGAAAAATGGAATTAAGACATTAAGAAATCTGTTAAATCCCTTTAATCCTCTCACATGTGCAGCCTTCTTCACCTAGTGGCTGTAGCGCGATGTGTTTTGGTGAGATAATGTACAGCACTCTGAGCTTCATCTGCAGTCAGAAGGTTATGAATGTCAATATGTTTCTGTTTAAACTTTGCAAGCATAACTGTACTGTAAATACATGGTTACACGATTCCTTTGGTAACAGTGCCATGTTTGAGTGTGCAGGAGAAAAAACATCTCAAGTTTTTTTGCAAACAAGTATAAACAATATTGCAACATTTAGAAGCATAGAAGCCACAGGACTGCGGCAGCATGAGGGATTTAATGCAGATGGTTTATTTTGTGAAAGAGTGGACCGCTGGGACACTGCAGGAAGTGCATAATAGAAGCAGCAACTCTAACTTACAGCCCCATGTTGCTGCATGAGAACACTCATTTTTGCTCTGGCACATCCTTGCAAGGTAGCAACCAAAAATACAAACACTCACAGGAGAATTTCTAGTGCATATTTCTTTATGGAGCTTTACAATCATTGCTTATCATTGCAATGTAAGGGGGAGAATCTAGGTTGTTAGGTGTTAGTATAGACTTAAATTATTGGGAACATCCCATGTTAAGGTTGGATTTAACTTGTCAGCACATGCTGTCTGAATCAGGCCACACTGCCATGGCACAATGTCCCTACTTTTGCCTGAGGGGCCGGCACAGCTCAGGTAGATTACAGACAATTTACTCTAAAGGCATTTCACACCAGCACCTGAGTACATAGCTAAGCCAGTCAAATGCTCTTTTTCTACTTGTGCCTGAATCCTGAAGTCCCCCTGAGCTTCAGCACATGGATATTTAGATATGTCTGGCTCACATACATGATGTAAGTGGAAAAAATTGAAAAGAAAAAGGCTTTTTCAAAACTATTAACTTCAGCCCGAGGAGGAGTCTAAGTTTGCATGAAATAACGAAATGTTTTCCAGGGAACCACTTAATCTTAAAATTCACCATGAAGGTGGACACCTTCTGTTTCTATACAAAAAAACACTTCTTATTCACAACATGCTCGGTTCTAGAGTATTCCCAACAGCATAGAAAATTATATGAAGCCTTTCTGAAGATATACTGGGTCTATAAAAGGGATATTCCACAATTTGAAAAACTTTAGAAGATTAATTTCTTATTTGAGAGAGATATTACATTTTCACCTTAAAAAAACAGTTGTATGTGTCTTCATTGGCCATAACGTTTCCATTTATGGTACCCTGTGAGACATTCGCAGTGATATTTGGAGGTGTGGCTGCAGATCGTGCCCTTAAGAAAGCAAAATGCTCTGTGTGTAAAAGGTAAAAAGACACTATGTTCATCATATATCCTGGAAATAAAGAGGTAATTTTTGATAATGCATTAGCGCTTGCAAAATGAGAATCGTCCTCCAGTGGCAAATTCATATTGCAAAAAAGACAAAAAATGCATTGAGAGGTACACTTAGATGCGACTGCTACAACTAGACTCTTATCAGTTCCATATTTCTGCATACTCTACATGAAGAGCATTTGATGAATTATCCTACATACCAGTCTTGTTTACAGACTTTAGTTATATCATGTATGGTGAAATCAGGAGAAACCATTATGGCTGCTGTATCAGTGCTATGGCCTATGGTAGGATACTCTATGGAATATCATTTAACAGCAATTTATTCATTCACTTAACACCAAAAGAGAACTCAAGCAAACTCTTATTAATTCTACCCTGATAGGAGTAAAGGCACAAAAACAAGGAATTGAACTTTTGGAACTCAAACTCCTTTATTTGAAGGAGTCACCCCTGCTGAAAAGAAGGGGCATATTCACATGTATGCTCTGAAGTAGATAAAAAGCTATTTTCCCCTGCTCTTTACAGCCATTTGAAAGTTGAAGCCTAATTAATTTTTCTAAGGGCTCCTGCCTTACTGGATAACCATATGAGAAGCAAAATATAAATGTCTCGATTCAAAACAGGTCTTTTTGTGGGGCTGATCAGTAAAATTCCTCTCAAAATGCTGTGATGAAAATGGTGGCCACCCATAACCATGCTGTGATTCCCCCTTTACCTTGTGGACATTGTGCTCGCTGGTCGCAGAGTCCTCCCTTGTGCAGTCCTCCCTCTGCTCGACTCATCAGAGCCATTCAACAGAGATAACTCTCTCAGCTGCTCCTGTCTGATCTCGTCATTGTAGTCCTGTGGAGGAGAAATGCAGTACGTTTCACATCAAAATAAAAGAAAATAAAAGGTGATTTGTCCTCTGACTGCAGCAGATGTTTGCAACAGCAGCAATTTACAATGACCTTGATGCAGTAATGAAACACGCTGTGCGGCAGATTGTTGAATAGCAAATAATATTGTTATCTTTGGTTATGGGGCACATAGTAACAGGGGGCATTAGTACTAGTAGGTAAGAACTGTGTAATGAATTTTTACATAGATGAGGGAGAAATAATGTCAACAGTCAATCACGGTTTCCAAATCAACTCACTAATCATATGTTGAGATCAAATCAAATGTGAGAGAAAAATAAATAAAAATTGCTGTCATTTTACAACAATAGAAAGCCAAATTGAAATGATAAATCAAATAATAATAAAATATCTTTATATGACTTTTTGGGACGCGGAACAGCGGTGTGGTAGCACCTTCGCCTCACAGCAAGAGGGTTCTGGGTTACTAAAATACTTAAACAACACCAATAAGACTGAAAGCCCACACTTTTTTGTAATGGCAAAAAATTGTGACAAACTTTTCTTTCTCTTCCCTGATAATCTCGTTTAATGGAAGAAAACGGGACAAGAAAGCAATAAAACTATTTGTATTGTGAAGAATAGTTAAAAGTCATTCAGGCAACTGAACTGCTTGGAAAACAAAATCTAAGCCTAAATGCAAAAGCAGTTTGTGGAAAATTAAGTACATCCCATATGTCAATATTTTGTGGAATCCCATTTTAGTAGCAATAACTTGAAGAAATAATTTTCTCTAAAATGTCATCAGCATCTTGCATTATTGTGAAGGGATTATTGCTCGTCTGAATGCCTCAGTTCATTGAGGTTTGGTGTGGATTTCAGCACAGCTTTATGAAGGGCCTGTTCTCTCTGAAATTGATTTGGGTTATGGGTTGGACTTTGACTGGATCATTGCAACACTTTGATACCCCCCACCCCTCTCTAACCATTCAGTTGAGTTTCATAACTGAGTTAGAGCAAAGCTTTACCTGTTAGGCACATGGCCTCAAAATGGACGTCACAACACTCAAGTCTTGCCTAAAGACACCTCCACATGTGGCTGGAGGTTGAGCAACAACCCGCCCATTGGCAGGCAACTGCTCCTACCACTAATCCACACCTTAGTTTTTGATAGGAAAAAAATTCAAATATGTCATGACTGTCTTATCAAGTTCTTTCATGTAAAACCACAGAAGAGAAGATGGGTCCACCTTTTTTTCACAGGTGATTGGATGCATAAAGGTCCAGAGCCCGTGCACATATTGACATTCAAAGTGAGATGTATGATAGCCGAGTGGAAAGTCCTTATTCCGTAATGGAAAAAAGAAAAAAAAAACAGAGACATAAAGCTTTCAAACTCAAGTGTCATACAGACTAAAAGATTAAAAAAAAGAAAACACTGGACACAATGCATACAAGAACTCCTCTTATTAAGTGAACCAATCGAGGGCGTTTGGATGGCTGAAGGAGACCGTTAGGGCCCTTAATTGGGAATCCGTCAGCTAATCCAAAGCACAACAAACCAGCCAGAGCTTGTCACATTTGACTGTTTACAAAGACGTTAGTGTGAGCATACAGAGATAAAGCCCACGCTGAGGCTTCTCAGGCCAGACTATTTGCTCACTGTGATTAATTCTGACCATGCATGACCTTGTGCATATTTGACACTCTTCACAGAGCTAAAGTTGGACTTTAGCCGGTCAATACATGAAGCAAAACGATACCAGTTACCCCATGTCCACATCTACCTGTCACATATGTGTTTTTGACTTTTGACCTTTTCATTTCTTGCCTTGTGGAGCTCCAGCACCTTTTATCTTGGTGATATGAATCAGCAGATTACCAGAAAAATTATTAGAGAACTGCTTTCAGATTGATCTATAAAAAAACACATCCACAATTTGTTGTCACACCAGATTAGATTTGAAATTGTGATTTGACTACTGACCAACAACACTCACTGATACATAAAAACAAACAAACAAAAACAAACAAATCGATGAAAGAAAATCTCTTTCAGCTTTCTAGTAAGTCTTTGTTGGATTACTATTATATGTATGCAATCTTTTTTTGTAGCCACATATATTTCACGTTAGCCGAGGGCAAGGATTATTTTATCCGTTGTCATTATTCTTCCTCCAAGGTTAATCTTATGTGGGAGCTTGTGATCTTTTCCATTTTCTTCTGTATCTCTTAGCAAAATTGGACAAACATTACCATGAATCTTGGTGGAGAGGTAGTGAATAGGTAGGAAATTCCAGAAGAAATTGGAGCAGGTATGCTTGTAAAGTTTTAAAAAAAACACCTCCTTGCACCTGGCAGAGTGATTCCCTTAGTTAATTTGTGAGATGGCAATTAAAGATGAAAATTCCGAGGAGAACACAGTATTACAGAGCAAGTAACATTATGTTATTAGGGGATTTCAATTAAACACCTGACTAAATGTGTGTTAAAATATTTACATTTTAAAACAGGTACCATTGATTTGAATAAAACCCATGCGTGACACCTTCACGCTGTGCTATGTCCAATTTGCTGACTGGTAGAAAAATAATAAGAGAGACAGACACTTTCACATGACAGCATGAATAAAATCAAAGTGCATTTATCCTGCAGGGTCAGGAACAGTATGAACAGTATGATATAAAATGAGTGGCGTGCTTTCAGGCCCACGTGACGATAAATCCCACAACAAATTAACTTTTTATCATGCAAAATCAAATGAATACCACAAATCTTAACTGAAAAAAAATACAAAGAACAATTTTCAAATAAAAAAGTATTTTCCTACAAACACAAAATAACAATTCCTCCCAAATACAAGCACGGGACCTCCTCATCCAGCATGTTAAACCTCCAAAATTGTCTGAGACTAGCCTTCGGACAGCTGCTGCACAGTTTGGCTTGCATAACCAAAGAATTTATGCACAAACCATCAGAAACCGTCTCAGGGAAGCTCATCTGCATTCTCGTGGTCTTCATGGGGATCTGGACCTTAGACCATGAGATCTGGATGTGGAGGTGCTGGGCTGTTGTGCTTATACGCAGGTGTCAGACAATGTGTAAGCACACCATTAAGAGAAATAGTTATTTTGTGTATATAGAAAATGTTTTAATTTTTGGAGTTCATCCCACGAAAAATGGGAGCAAACACAAAAGTGTTGCATTTGTATTTCTGGTCAGTATATGTAACATACAGCTAATGTTTCTGGCGGTGAAATATTGGGCTCGGGTGAAGGGCAGGCTCACTTTTCACTCAGAATTGTGACACATTCCAGCTTGCACTGGTTTTGTGTCTTTTGATGCACACATTGTTGTCAACATTTTTGGCAGTTACTCATGAGGCTTCATCTTTCAAGCAGCTGATGGGATTTAATGTTAGGCCTACAGCACTAATTAGAAAACACCCCATAGTCATGAATTTAAAATGATTTTTAAAGTTTCAGACTGAAAAAAAAGAAATGCCCACAATCCTTATCAACTCTCGTTTTTACTTTTTTTAAATGTTTTGCGCATTCTGTGGGATCTGGGCGAGAAGAAGGCTTTGCTAAATAATAGGTGTACGACATTTTCAAGGGGGTAATGCTCATTAAAATGAATTGGACCTTAACAGAGGACTTGAAGATATTTCAATATTTTGTTCACATATACAGTAGATAGGAGAGGAAAGGAGATAAAGTGAGAGCTGAACGAACTATTGTTCATTCAGTTCACATGCTCATACTTAGAATGTCAGCGGTAGCCAGACGTGTACATTACACACGTTGCATTGTGGTAGCGAGCGGCAATCTATTGTGTCTGCTGTATCCTGTTGAGGTTAGTTGAGTTTGTGAAGCACCAACCAGAGGATGATTGACTGAGGAAACAGCGGGAGTTTTCCTGTAGGGTAAAGCCAGATCCAGACTTGCTTATTTCAATTCAGTCCATGTTTTCTACATACTAAACAAAGGTCCATTTCATCTTTAACATACTAAACAGACAGCAGACTCATTTATCACACAATAAAAGCGCAGCCTGACGGCCTGTTGAGTTGTGAAGCAGTGTCATTTTGGTTCAGCACAGACACAGATACTGTCTTTCTTCTCTTCAAGTCTGGTGTAGACGTTACCCATAATAAAACCTTTAGTTTTCATTCTGATTTGAGTGTTTTATGGGAGCAAAAGCTTCAGGCAAAGAAATGGGGTGCAGGTCATGGTACTGAATTCAACAGTTTTTTTTCTTTTTTTCGTCTCAGACTTTTCTGCTTCATGTCAGAGGCACTGTTGCTTAGCAATACCTCAACAGCAAGTCTTTAACAAAACACCTATTAATGTATGGTATCACAGTGAAATAAGCAAACAGCATGATATCTTTTCAACTCTTCACTGGAAGCAGAAAACATCTGCTGCTGTGGTTACTGGTGGGTTGGTGTTGAATGACATTATAATGCAGTTTATTCACATATCTATAGGTTCCCTAAGTCAACACGGATGTGCTATACAACAGAAGGTACACCCTTTATTTTATATTTTCCATTGACACAACGAGATGGTGCAAGCTGTTGTTTGGAACAGGAATACATTTTGTCTTTCCACTAATTCTAATAACATACTTTTTTATTATTTAACTTTGAGAGGATATGATAAGAATTTATTTTTTAAATTATCATTCATAGACAGACCCCAACCACACTGATTTCCCTTTTTAAAATGTTTTTTTTTTAATCTGGGGAATTGAGTTATTCTGCATCATCAGTCTTGCTGGTAGACCTTCACAGGAGATTAATAATGGTTGCAAGTTAAAACTAAATGTATAACAGACAATTCTGTGTTTACAATAATGTGTACAAATATTCTTTGTTCAAGAAAGATTTATCACCTGATTATGGGATAGATATCAGAAGGCCAGAGCAGAGAAATACATTCATTCTGTAATGAGTGTAACACATTCTGTCAGTAATACATTCATTCTCTTGGATGGCCATAATAGAATATTTATGTTCATGGCTTATTCCATCCATCCTTCCATTTTCTATACCACTTATTCCCAATGAGGTCCCAGGTGAGCTGGAGCCTATCCCAGCTGACAATGGGCCACACAGAGACAAAAAACCACAAACACATTCACTCCTAGGGGCAATATAGAGTGGCCAATAACCTAACATGCATGTTTTTGGACAGTGAGAGGAAACCAGAGTATCCACAGAAAACCCGTGCAGAGACAGGGAGAACATGCAAACTCCACACAGAAAGGTCCTGGTTCCCCGGGGACTCGGACCGGTAACCCTCTTGCTGTGAGGCAAAGGTGCTAACCACCACACAATCGTGCTGCCCTTTATAGCAAACGATTTAATAGATCTATATGTTCATCAGAACTTGTTTTTTAAATCCCATCTGACCCAAGACGAGTGTCTTACTTTATGACCCAAAAAGGTGGCTGGTTGTTGAACTGCAGTGGGGTAAAAGTAGTGTTCATTTGTGACCATTAATGCTGAATTATATAAACAGGTTTTGGAGCATGCTTTCAGGGTAACCTTTGCTTATTACAGCAAGATGACAATAACCCACAATGGGAATGTATAACAACAACATGGCTGTGCAGGGATTTGATGCCAATTCTGGTGGGCTCACTAAGAAAACTATTAAATAAAAATTAGACACCAATCTCTTTTCCTAAATCAGACTCGCTTTTCACCACCATTTCCAACACACGCGAGTTTAAAGGGCTTAAGTAGCACTGTTAAAAGAAAGAGTGAAAAGATTCGACCTGCTAAAATCCAAATTTCTAATTGCCATAATTAGATAGATGCCTCAGCCACATTGTGTCCTCTTTTAGTTTATGTTATATTAGGCAGTCCAACTTTCTTTGGAAACATGGTTATAATCCTGCTTTAATTTCTTTTTTGGCACTCAGTCTAAGTAATTTGTGTTTGGTTTTGCTTGATGTGCATGCAGTATCATCATCCTCTTGGCCCAGTGCGCACACAAAACATTGGCTCGGTACAGGAAGAAGCATGGACTTCATAAAATAGACTCATACAGTATAACTCCTCTATTAGGCGCGTCACATTTGCAAAGCTTGATTAATATTTACAGCTTAGGCACAGCAAGAGCACACAACATGCACACTAATTATGGCAAAGTTCTCCAGGCTATAAGTTGCTGGAGTCTTGCAAGTTGTTTCATACTGCACTTTAATTGCAGAATACATTATTTCTCCTTTGCAACAAAGGGCATGCAGTGCAGAGTGGGGGAGAGAAACTCCATGCTTATATCCTCCTCTCATGTAAACAAACCCTGATAATGTGAACTTAGAAACTGTTATGGTAATAAGTTTGCCAAAGAAATGACCAAGTCAGCAGTAATGACTGCTGCTCGTGAAGGCTGTTGGAATAAAAATGCAGGGTGAAATCAGGTAAAGTCATAAACTCACTGGGACTAGGAATTTTTTAATTTCCTCCAAGGCATGGCTCATGCGGGAGTAGGCCTCTCCTGGTGGAGCAAAGACTTCAATTAAAACGTGCAGATCACTACTCAGGTGGGCGTATTTGGCCTCCCCACTTTTTCGTAACTCTTCTTCCTGTGAAATCAACAGAACAGGTGAGGAGATTTTTTTTTACACAGAAAATACTCAGAAATTTGAATACATGTTTTTTGCACCTTGGAAATGTAATAAACACAACAGTAATTGCACTTAAGCGGTCATGTATGATAGAACATTAAAAGCATGTGATAGTTAATCTGGAGTGTGCTTCTTTCTTACAATGCAATGGAAGATGTGTTAGACAGAATGTTTCTTATACACATATCATATAGGTTTTAATTTAGTTTAGGGATCTATATAAACAATGGCAATGGGAGCCTGCACTTATGCCAGACATAGTGGTGGCTAAAAGGGTAGGAGAAGAAAAAACTTGAAATTCTCACTCTGAGGCTCACTCAGTAACACATTATCTAGCGTGACGCTATCTATTTCAAAACAACAAGGTGTTACTAACAACAAAATTGGACTCACGCAAACAGCTGAATCAGTTCTGTTAGTAAAATATTGGAATTGAGTTTGAAAGCTGGCATTCAAAATATTGCCCCAGTTCACTTTGTGCAATAACAGTTCATGGAGTACGAAGATGTGTGGGTTTAAGGCACCATGGGGGGGTTTGTGGTAATGCTGATGCCGGCATGCTACCACACACATAAATCTAACAATAGGAACCTAAAATATTCACTGCAACAAAGCAAAGGTTGCAGAGATTTTTTCAGCTGTACAGAGATTTGAATATCATTCTGTTGAAGCCATGTTAACTCTGGCTCAGGAGACGCTGAGTTGCAGCAGACAAACAGTGGAAGTAGTGCAAAGAAGACATATTATATTCAATTCCAGCTCTATTTTTATTTTTTTTGTATATTCTGACTAAGCAGAATAGTTTAATAAATTGTATCAGTACAGAATCAGAATAAAACATGGAAAATGTATGTTTTTACGCAGTTCCAAAACAAAGTAGTTTCACAATCCGTGCCTGTAAAATGAAAATGCTCTGTTATTTTCTGTTGGAAAAATTAAGGAAATTGTAGCCCATGAACCGTGAAGGGTTTTAGAAATAAATACAGTTCCATGTATTTTTGTTGCAGATCAACTAAACCATGTATCTCCAACCATGCCTATCTGTGGCTAACAGATTACAAAATAATGGATTCTGAGTTTGAGCTGGTTACACATAGCAGAAAAACATATTTCTAAATGAAGTCCACAGTGTTGTTCTTTGGTCTTCTTTCAACAATGTTTTAATGTCCAATTACTGATGCTTTAGACATTTAGGATAAATACAGCATCATGATAAAAATGTTGGTTTGCATGTATCATAGGACAATGTAAAATTTGTGTTCCTTTCCTTCCGTCACACTCAATGAATAATTCAACTTATAGAACTATCAATACTCATCTCCAAACTGCAGAATAAAATCAGGAATATGTAACACAGAAGGCATTGCACTTTATTCACAGATCACAGAACCAGTGATGGTATTCCTGATTGTTTTTCTGAGACAAAAATTACATTTGGGGAACTGTGGTCTCAGTGAGGAATACTGGGAAGGCTACGCACTGAAACAGGCTCTGGCTATGTTTACCTCTGTAAATGTAGTGGAAGTTGTCCAGATGAAAAAGTGTGTCAAAACATATATCACACATAGACTAAGTAGTGTTCAGGTGGGCAATCACCAAAAGGTCACCAAAATCGGTGGATGGCAGTGATAAATATCAAAACAGTCGAAGATGGGGAGGCTACAGACAGTTTACCAAAGGAGGAACAGGTGAACTGAAGGCATCTGGTGGCCAGGTGAGACGGTCATTTTTAGTTACATAACTGCAGACTCAAAGGCTAGCATGTCTGCAGGCACTTCTGTCAGCCTTAATCTTAGACACATACAAGCCTAAAGAGAGCAACATGTTACCCAGCACATTGCTCTGCTGGGAAATCCTGCATCAAGGGACACATTTGGATTTCACGATGACACCTCCTTAAATATTAATGCAGGCCATTCACTCTTCAGAGCCACACTGCATGGCTATACAACTTTTTTTTCTAGCATCTTTCCACCGAGGGCTGAGTTTTTCAAAATGAGTTGAGGCAGGGCCAAAAAGCATCTTAAAAAGCCTGGGGTGTTCCCCATAACCTCTAAACTTTCCAATTTAATAGGAAAGTTTGTACAAATACCCCACGCACAAATCAAAGGGGCCCCAAGGCTCGTTTACTAAGACCCAGGTACCCGACACTCCAGAGCACACTTCAGATGCTCTTTGACCTATTTCACACATTCTTTAGAATGCAAGTGGTCATAATGTTATGTCTGATCACCGTATGGTTTACAATTGACTTAGGTTATCCTCTGTATTCTTTTTTTGCCTTTCAGAAATAAGAGTTTGAACCACGCCTATATTTAATCCCACATTGCGACTGTAATATCTGCAACCATCTCCAGCTTTGGTTATAGCCACATCTCTCAAAATACAGCACAATATTCAGGTTTATCCCTCAGCCCAAATGCTTTCCCCCCCCCTTTTTACCAGCAGCCATCCTGCTGCTTGGCCATCTTTCATCTGGATGGCCCAAAACCACAGAGTATATTCCCAGAGAGGGGAGAGGGAGATACTTCAGATGTCATTGTGACAGAAGCAAAGAGTGGGAGCACTGCTGTTTGATTTTTTTTACATTTTTTTTAAGATCAATCACTTAAACCTACATGTTTAAAATAAAATTGTGAGTTTATTCAATTTTAGATGTTGCCAAACAAACATATAAAGAAGGTTACATAAATTACACAGAACCAGGAGTTAATTCTTTGGTAATTAATGTAAGATGATCAATATGTGAACACAGTTTCAGATGTTTAATCAAAGATTAAGACTGGCATTAATGAACCTCAAAAATTCTCTGTCTCTCCATCTTTATTTTTTCTTTCTTAAACTTTTTAAGAGAGATGAGTAGCTCAACAGCAGCTGAATATTTTAAAGGTTTCACCGCATAGAGCTGAGTGTGATGTTAGTTTAGATATCGGGGAATAAACACAAGGGTGGTGAGAAAAGTGAGGGTGAATACAAGCAGTGCAAGCAGCACGCTATAAAGCCAAAATGATGAGTTCAAAGAAATAAAAGAAACAGCAAAGTCTACACACTTTTTTTTATCACCCATACATCCATAGCTTTCAACTATGTATGAAGAACTGCAAACTTCTCACACTTCTGGATTAATGCTTTTGTGCAGAAAACATCAGCAGGAGATGAGTTTGTTCTCAATTTTCCATGTGGTACACTTAAGACTGCATAATTTCAGCCTTGGAACTGCTTGATTGAGCAGTTAATATCCAAATGAATTATTTACAGAATGCAAACATTTTGTGGAATCAATTGTTGTACGAAACAAATACAAATTAATTTACCATCAAATTTAATATAAAACGAGTTTAACTGTTAATAATGCAAAAAGCTAGTAAAAAATAAAAAGATTATTGCATGAAATGATCAGTTTGGTGAGGTCACAGTATCAAACAAAAGATTTCAATCTGAGCTCATGTAGCGCATTCGTTAAGTCACAAGAAAGGAGTCATTCTCAGAACATTTGGAGCCACGCCTGAGTTTATCCGTTTCATAGTTCATGGACAAAGACGGCTGTTTTAAAAGGAACAGTTTTAACTGTAAAATCAACATGTACTTCACAAACAAATAAATAGATCATTAAAATGGCATCACACTTGAAGAAGAGACATTTGATCTACCTAGGTGTAGATAAAATAGAGCCTGATGAAGAGGTTTTATCATTTCTGCACTGCAGAAACACTTAAGTGTTGGGTTTTTGACTCAAGGACAAATTGATGGTGGCTGAACAGAGATATAGGAGTGTCTCTCATGTACTCTCCTCAGCAGCCATTCTGAGGATTCAAACTTTTGTCCTTGCATCACAGTGCTTTCTTTCCACCTCCTTTGAGAGGTCATCTTTAATTATAAGGCACTCCCAGGACCTCAGCAGTCTACAAATACTTTGTCGAGTCATTATGGATGAGATGAAATGCATGATGGAGATTTGACTGAGCTGTTTCAGCGGAAATCTGAGGTTCTAAAATGATACGCAGCTCATGCAGAGAAACAGCAGCATGCCCTCCGTTTTCAGTGAAGAGAATTAGCTTTATTTCAAAGGTTTTTGGCAAGAGAAAAAAAGGCTTGAATGAAAGAGATTAACCATTCTCTATACTTGTACATTACGAAACCACAGTGTGCCATATTGACCATATGGAAGATGAGATGTTTTCTTTAAAAAAAAACTATTTTAAAGTACAGCCTTGAACCTGAAATGAAAATTAAAAACATGTATTGACAGTGTGTGTTTGTATGTAAGAGGCCTATGTGTGGCTGCCCTAGCTGGCACCATGTCTTTCTTCCATGACCTCTGGATGTCAGTCTCATCAGAGAATCCTTCACACTTGGTCAAATGGTACATGGAAATCAATACTGCACACAAAAAAGACCCTTAATCAAAAACAGCATGTAGTCTTTGTTCAACAAAATATGGGTTTTGAAGTCTGTCATTGTCTGACCACAGCATGTGTCTCACTCCGAATGGATTTCCATATTAGTAACACTTGTATGCACAGAATAGGTCTGATGAATTAAACCATTCACACTTGCACTGTCATGTGCGTGGCCATGTCCAGCACGGCATCAAGCCTTGGGCTCTGGAATGTCGGTAAATAAGTTCTTCGTTTTTTTTTAACAGTTTAAATATGAATGCATTTTTGTAAACCTCAGTTTTTAATTGAACGTGCACGACATGTTAGCATTGCACATGAGTGAACTAAGTAGGTTTGGTGGCGATGCGCCAAAATTTTAAATGAACTCCTGCACCAGCTTCGATGCATCCAGAAATGCGATTATATTTGACACGTTTGCTCTTCAGCTGCCTTGATGATGACAATTTTCAGTCTTATTATTAGTTCAGAACAGGACCAAAATGTCAGCCTGTTACAGTTTATTTTCCTAATATTTTAGAATAAGCATAACTGGTGTATAACTAAATGTGAGCAAACTGCTAGATTTCTCTTGACTGAGTTGTCAAAAATGTTTCCCGTCCAGAAAATATATATTTCAAAAGCACGGGCTATATATTTAAAAACTTTAATTTGATGCTAGGAATGATTGAATAACTTTAGTTTCCTAACTTTAGTTAACCTACAGTGTAAAGGATGTGCACTAACCTGACTGACTGTACAGTGAACACAGTGTTACTATTAGCCTGTTGGTTGGTATCTGCATGGTACTTTTTTCCACCCAGAATTGGAGAGCAACACCTGAACTCGAATCATAAATGCTAACAAAGACTTGTTTTGATAAGGACTAGGGTCACAGGTTAAAGTCTTCCTGACACATACCTGACAACAGATGAACACATGAAGACTGAAGTTGGCTTAAGAAATTAAAATCAAGTAAAAACATTTTCTTTTTCTTTTCATTGCTCAAAAGAGGTTGGGTTATGCAAGGCCACTGTTAAAAATACAAAGTCGGGGTATTAAGAATGGCAATGTTTTCGTATATTGACTCATCAAAATGGTGGATTGCATTTATGTTGCATTTCCAGCTTCGGTCAGACTGTGAATAGTGCTGTAGTGCTCTCACTCATATATGAACATGCATCCCTGGTGGCAGAGCTGCCATGCAAGGCGGTTGCCGGTCCGTGGTCTTGCAGTAGAGGAATCATTGAGTGTCCTGCCAACCATCACTTAAGCACTTTTATATGGGTAATTTACAGAGCTTTTGAACTGAATATCTTCTAATGTTATTGCTGGTATTTTAATAGGTAAAACATCATAGGTGAAGATGGACTATATTGTTTTTACTACATCTTGCACACCATAAGAATTGAGTTTCTTACCGAGGAGGAAAACACATGAAGAAAGACAAAGAGGGTCAGTCTGCTTTTTTGTAAGCCTGCTTCATGCTTCCTGTTGATAAAAGATTTTGTGATTTACAGCCTCTTTTCCTCACTGTCAGAATATGCAATGAGCCTTGCATACTTGACAGTGGCACGTCAGCTGAAAGTAAGGCACTGAATGTCAGAATGCATTAAAAACATCTGACAACGTGAAAATTCTATGAGCAGCTGCACTTTTGACTGCACTATTTTCTGTTTTGTTGAATCTTTGTGTGGATTTCCAGTGTGTGCTTCTTCTGAAAAGAACTGTTCAAAGTTCTCTTTTCCCCATGCTCTTCTCTGAGCGTAACCATTTACATTATTTGCCTTAAGCGAGAAGTGTGAAGTTTAAAAAGTCTCGCTGCCTGCTTAAACAAGGAGTGGGGATAGTGAATAGACAGTAAAGCTAAGCCTAACGATAAGTGCGAGCATTTAAGGTATAAAACTCCATAAAGCTGAGGCTGACTGCAAATTCAGATGCACATCCAAACAAAAGAAAACTTCCACAATGTTGTGTTCCCTTCAAAATGTTGTTTCATACTTCTTTTTGTAAAATGATCAATTACACCCACTTATAGGGCCTGTGTATTCTGTCCTCGACGTCTTCTCGCAGCATTGAAATGCGGCTCCAGTTTCACCGGAGAGGTGGTAGGACTGCAAGTCTTTTGTCATGTCAAGAAGTCTGAATCAGACGCTACAGTAATAATAGCATGTAACTCTATAGCAGCACTCTGAGACCTGTTACAAGAGTGAACACCAGACCTAGAAGACCGTCAGTGCAAACGCTTGGGTAAGTCTGGCTCCAGGGGGACCACAAGTCAGTGGGATAAATGACTCTGGCAAAAAGATTCATTACTTTGCATTCATAATTGACTATTACAGAATATGCCATTAAACAAAACACTGAAAAAACATTCCTGTTTTTCGCCTACATGTGTTTGTCAAGTGGAAGCTATTAATTCTACTCTGAGTGCTATTCATCTCAGTTACCTCTCAGGTGGTGTTGGTGAGACGATTCCTTTCTGCTTTGTTGGAATTTCAAATGCTATTGTTTGTGTGAATATTTCCCTTTTTGAGCAGCCAGACAATATATTTCAGCACAAATCAATTTTTTTTTACCTTTCCTTTATCCCTCATGGACCCTTTGCCAAGGATGGACATCTTCACTCCCGTCTCCTCTTGTAATCTTTTCATAGAATTTCCCCGTGGTCCTAGCAGCTTCCCTACAAAGTTAAACTGTGACACAGGAGAAAAGAAAAGCAAATCAAACAGCTTTTGAGCGCTTCCAAAAACATTTAGGTTGAGCAAAAATGCTGAAATAGACAGTATTTGAAAGCAAATGCTAATAGAGATATCTCTTTATGTGATGGATGTAAAAGGAATTCGATCTTTTTGGAGAAAAAGGTTAACCATAGAAGATGTGTGCTGGCCATTCGTCATCTATTATCAATATAATCTCACATTCCGTTCACCATTCATCATGTGGAAAAAAAGCTGTAATGTAGCCTGTGATGAATCAATATCATTGTTCTCAGTTCGGAGCACATAAAAGGTGAATGTGCTTCTGATCTGCGGTTTAGCATGACATATGTGTCCATCCCTCGCTTGAACTGTTCCCTTACTAGTCATGTATCTTATTGGCATTTGGGGTCATTCATGTTGGGCCGAGGAGAGAAAAGAAAAAGGGAGCAGGGACTCAAACCAATAACATTCCTGAGACAGTTCCAGAGGTCAGCGCTGAGATAAAGTCAGAAATAATGAGTTTCTTCCCAGTGGGAAATTAAGTAATACTATCCAGATGACAAACCATCAGATTCAAGCCTCGGGGCTCTGACTATCATTTCCCTCTCACTGTGCACCAGCTAGTGGTCTCATTGAAAGAGGTATCGTTTCTGTGTTTCTCCTGGCTCCACACTGCGGAGATTAGCAGTGATTAATCCAAGAGATGAAATATATTTAAAAACTGTAGTTACAAGTTTCTTTCCTGAGAAGCATAAGTGTACGCTGTGAATAGAATGGACTTCATTTATTACTACCTCTAACATAAAGAACACCTAAAACCATCTTCTATTTTCAGTGAATGTGTTTGACTTTCAAATGTTCGCTATTGGACCAGGTCATAAACGTCCACCCCCAGCGCTGAACAGGTGGTCAGCCACCCACCACAGCACACTCTGGCCAACACTTAAATGATATTAACCTTTCCAGAATGCACCCTCTCCCACTGTGGCTGAGCAGCTAATAACTTACTGCCAGCTGTGTTTGGCTGCTGCAACTCAACTCCAAAAACTGCACACTCAGCTTAATTCATGTGCACCATTTACATCACGGGACAGTGGAACATCGAGGGATGCCGTCCCGCATCCCCGTCCCACAGCCCGGATAGAAAAAGAGGAAAAGAGAAGAAAGCATCCCGACTGTCCTTGACTGTCCTCCGATCTGAATGATTAGGACACCTCTGTGAATGGTTTTCTTCACAGGAGCTGAGCGGTGTGCAGGACGATCCTATAGCTGGCAGGGAGCTGGGGAGCAGATGGTCGCCGCGGCTACATCAGGAAAGCGCTCACTGGGCGGTAGAAGAAGAGTGGCTCGTTTTCATTTAGCTAATGAATGTCTGGAGCCTCTCTGCTATTCCATGGCGAGCAATTTGAGCATCAGAAAAGGGTACGGTTCAGTGTTAAATGAGGTTTGAAATGATGCTATGTACCCCCTACAGTGTCAACACCGATAACTATGCAGATATTAGAAGGACGGGTGTGGTGAGAGTATCAATTAGGCCATAAGATATTTGTTTGCGTTTTACAGAGTGTAACTTGTACGAGAAAGATATTTGTTCAACTTTGGACATTTTTTGACAGAGCCCAGCGTAGTTCCACATACGAGTTCTAAAAGTTCACTTAGCAGGGAGTTCTGTACCAACAGGGAATAAAGCAGGGGCAGACGGCTGACTTGCACAATTGTGAAAATGCAAACCTGATAAAAGTTGAGCAGGTTTCATCAGGTACAATCCAGAACAATCCAGAAACAAATTGAAAAAACCCATTCAGCTGTACAAAGTAGAAAATAGCACAATGGAACAGGGAGTAAGTGTAAAAAACATTATCAAATAAAGGATAAACAAGCCAACACATCTGCATTTTACCCCGACAAGTGTCATGTTCAGTTTGGTCTTGCACTGCAGAATTGCAATTTTGCCGGATTTTTCATTAAATTGCAAATGTGCTGCCAAACTCATGAATGTGCTGTTCCATCCTCTAAAGCTTTGTCTACTTACATGCATTTTCATGAATAGATGCTCAACTTATGATACATATTGAGCTGTGTTTACAGTTTTTTTCAGGTCCTGACAGGTATCTGAAAAAAAGGCCTGAAAAGGTTTTTGTGGATCCAGACACAGCCATGCTAAGCTTGACAAGACGCCTCAAGCAATGAAATTTTTTTCAAACTACCCACCTAAGTAAAGCAGTGCTGCTGGAGCACTGTGTGTGTCCTCTGACAGCGTCTTTGTGGAGAATTCTCTTAGGTTGCAGAGCATGGATTTTATCATATCCAGGCCTTCTTTGGGCTTGTATTCCATCAGGAAAAGCATGTACTCACTGCGAGTCATAAACATGTATTTTGCTCTTATCTGATAGTGCTGGTTTTATAAATTAGATCAGATCAAACTTTTAGCCTTCTTTACAGTGTCTGTACTGCCATGTCTTCAAAGAAGTAGTTGAGATTTAGCTTCTTACGGTTGTGAAAGAAAGAAGCCGTGTCTGCATTTTTCAAAGCGGGTAAGCACAAAATAAGAAAGTTGTATTTACAACGTGTGTATGCAGACCATATCTGCTCCTGAAACCTCCACAGAAGGAAGAATGAGTGTAAAACATTATAATCCCAAATATCTGGAAGAGAATATGAAAACAGCTGTTGGCTGTATAATTTAATCTTCATCTTTCACTGAGTCATGTCAAAAATGTTCCCTACAAGGAATTTAAAAAATCCATCAAAGCAGCACAAAAGAAAATTTCTACATACTCAAAAGTGAATGCTACATTACACTTTCATGACCCTGTTTTTCACGCTGTTAGACTTAAAGTAAAAAAGCCATTAAAGGAGAGGCTCAATAAAAAGGCAAACATCAAAGGGAGCACTCACAAGCATATGATATGAATAATAAATACAAATCAAAGCCACCTCAGGGTGACTTAATGTGCCAAAGTATTTCCATATACAGTACATTCAGTATTAGGTCAGTTCCACGGAAAGCAGGAAAATACTTACAAGACACAGTAACAGTGCACATTGAACAACACAAGATCATTTCCAAGTCTCAGGTTTAAAATTGTGATGCAGTGCACTGTTGATAGTCAACATGTCCAGAGGCACTTCTTGCCAACTTAGTCAGCTGTGCTAGCAGGGAGTTCCAGGTCCTTTCTGATAGGAGGATTAAAGCCACAGGTAGGCGTTTGGCTTTAATGACAGTCGGTGGTGACTGGGCTGTGAGTGTATAAGAGGACCCTTTTCTATCAGATCCACGTATTTTAAAGCAAACAGATGAGCGGAGGCTTCAGATGTGTGATGGGGGAGGTGTTACTATTCACCTATTTCCAATAAATATATAAACACCTGACAGTAGGCAACACATATATTTGATTCATGCAAATTCGGCACCTCAATTGTAAAAAGGAAAAATATGAATATTTTATTTGAACATAAACTGGAGTAACTCAGCCATCATATTGTCAGCAGCTTGAGAGACAAATATGTACAAATACTGTTCAAAATTAAATAATGAGGTGTGCAGTCACGGTTTTTGCATATTCATGATACACTTTTGACTTCTTGCTTGTATTCTTTTTTTCACTTATCCTGAATGAATGCTGGAATATATATATATGTATATATGTACTGTGTGGATATATACATATACAGTATATATACTGTATATATATATATATATGTGCGGATGCATTTTATCATGATAACTTCCCACAACCAGCTTTGTGCTGGACAGCACCACACTTTGGCTCAGTAACAAATCCCAAAGTGGAACTTAGGTGCAATCACACTAGTGCTTAATTTCAATTCACACTCTGTATTCCCCCAACTGTATTCTGTACTTATCTAAACAAAACACCTTTCCTCATGATAAGCCTTTCTTTGGGATACCAACGTCTCTGAGCAGCCAACAATTGGATCGCTGCATGGTGTAGATTCGGCAGCAGAAGCATTATCTAAAGGTAACAAAAACCCAAGACTGATAAGCTCAAAACCGCAGCATGACAATACAGTTGTTTGACAAAAAAATGTGCCAACTGAATGCACAATTAAAGACACACGTTTTAAATACATTTTCAGGACCACAACATGAAATGAGTTGATAAATAAAAGAATAAAAATAGACCTACATTTACTTTATTAGCATTTGCAGAATAGTAAAGAACTCAAACTAGGAAACATTGTGGGCATTTATAAACCTATACAATGTCTCAAAATGTCTCATTAAACTACTGAGAAATAAATCATATTCAAATAATGAAGGAAATCCCAACAATTAAAAAAAAAAGGTAAACGGTCATCTCCAAATTTGATGCAAATGTATGCTCCCTTCACTTTCACTGTGATCAGCCTTGGTGAAATGTCACCACATTTCTTCTTTGATATATCTTATCTTTCCACAATTAGAGATAGAAAGTCGTGGTTGAGTTGCTTAGAAGCATGCCTCAAGGCCAAATTTCATCACTTTGTCAAACTACAAAACAATAGTAAGCCTGATTTAGATTTTGCTGCTCATAATGCCCCACTCACAAGGGGGATGTTACTTGGAAAATGGGTGGAAAAGTAACATTATATCTGCTCCACACTCTGCAACCGGACATAATCTTAAGAGTTCTGGAATGATAACTCAAAATTGTTGAAGCATTAGCGCATGACAGATATTACAATGTGGCTCATGGAATAATGGGATGTTATTCAAATAAAAATAAATACTTCTCCTCTTCTTCCTCACACTCCACATAAATACACACCACTGCTTTTTTACCACTGACTGGATACACCTTATCCTTGTCGAAAGTCCTAGGAAGGACAGTGCTTTGGCCCACAAAACCCTGCTGGACACGATAAAAATCAATTAGCTGATTCATCCTCAGGTCAGTCTTGTAAACGTGATTAACACTCGTTCTGGACGTCTTCACTCTATTAAATTGATTTTAAACCCCTGAAAGTTGCCAATTGATTTTTTTTGGGCAAGTAAAGTGATTTTCTTTGACTTTCCATGTTGCTCTTTCTGTTGCATTTAATGTCCAAAAGTTACACATTCTGCTCCTAAAATCACATGTGAAGTTTCAAAATTGTGTTTGCTTTTTTATATCTGCTAATAGAGGTGAAGTACTGCTAGATATACACAAATAATAAAAACCTGTGATCCATATTGTCAAAATATTCTCCCATAATTCTCTTGGAAACTAAATTAGAAATGACAAAGTCAACAGGACATGTTTGTCATACTTGACCCGTCCTTTTTTAACTGCTTTCCCTTACTTTCCCAAGTGTGAGTTAATTTACTGATTCGATGGTTTATGAAAGCCAGTGAAGTTAAAAGAAACGTAAAACCATCGAGGCAGAGGCTTAGACATAAAGTGTTTTTCAATTAAAAGAATGAATTAAAGAACATGAAGAAGAAAGAGGAAGAGAATAGTGTTTCCATACAATCAACAAAATCGTTACATCTCTGCAAAGTAAGCGAAGCTGCAATCCGGTGGGACAGCGGAATTGTCCAACAACAGCTTCTGTGACCTAATTGCTCAGTCAGCACCCCGTAAGACTGCAGTGTCACTGTCCTAAACGTCTTGGTAACACTGCAGTTTCCCTTAATGATAATTAGCCACATGAAGTACCTCTTTGAAGTGCTTGCCCTGGAAAGCCCATGAGTAAAACAGAAAAGAAAAGCCCATGGGTAAAACAGAAAAGAAACTATTACAGAACTTAAACAAAACCAGATGGAGAACATATAACTGCATGCTGTACTGCATGCTGGACATATAACTGTTATGTAGCCAACATGCTTTAATATCAAATCCATTGTTGAGTTATTTTTGCTTGAATAAAATAAAAGCGCCTGTTTTCACAAATGAAGGTGTTTGATGTGTTTGACTTTATTTTCGCTTATAGTGGGATTTTTCCATGTCTGCTTTTTTTACATCCCTGCTATTCAGATTCATTCTGGCTATGTGTTACTGGTGGCAGAGCAAAACATCAAAATGTCACAGATTTGCTCTCTCAGCCGTCTCGCAGTGCTTATTGGAGCTTAAAGCTGCCATCTCGCTGCATGGTAATTAGATCCAAGATAATTGAATTGTTACTTGAGAGAAGTCATCCACATGATTTCAGATTTGACAAAGTCACTGAGGAAAGATTTATATGAAACACTGTGCTGAAGAACTCACACTGACAGACATATGCTGCTGGTAGTTTTCACTAAAGCCATTTTAGCATGTCAAAGTCAGCAGAGCACATGTGCTGTGAATCATAATGTGCACACATATTAATCTGTTTAGAACAGCCATTGCTTCACAGTCAAAGTGTCCGCCAAGAGAAAGGCCTCTTTAGTCCTCTGTGAAGCTGCGTAGTTTCATTGTCTCTGTACCATAGGGGCACAGATGCTATCGAAACAAATCCTCTGGCTCATAAATATTTCATTGCAAAGAAACTGCTACGATGCTACAAAGTAAATGACTGAAACTCAAAACATCACACAGCATGTTTGGGGATAGACACATCCATCTATCTCTTAGATGCATGTCCTCCAAATATATGGGAATGATTCATATTAATCTGCTGGCTGGGCTGTACATAAGTGCAATAGCAGATAACATGGAGCTCATTCCTACATTCACTTCTTGTTTTATTCAATTAATTGAATTCATAAAGTGATATCCCCCTGCCTTCCAAACTACACAGGGAAACAAAAAAGGTTTGACTGCTGAGGGTTGGACTCTACGTATGTACTTTAATCATTGATCATTTATTTATTCTTTAAATAATATGCTGCACAGAGGATAGATATGGTGAATTCATCATCGGAAAAATTACAAAACATGGTTTAGATGCTCTCTGTTCAGTAGGAGATTTAGATTAAAATGACTATGCAATACTTAGAAGTAGTACACAATGTCAAAGTTTTTAAAAATATGCAAAAGTCTGTCAGGTTATGTGTGAACACCTGCTTTAGTCATCTTACTGCATTATTTTAAATGTAAGCAAACCAATTCAAATTGATATAGACTTGCTTCTGTCTCAAGTTATGATTTTAACCTTACACTGTTTTTTATATTTTTCTCCTTTGTTTACCCGTAAGTTAAACTAATAATGAATGCTCCAGATGGGCTGTAGTATAAAGAAATATTAAGCATCTTGTTAATTTAAACCCACACACAAAGTATATTATCCATGCCATGTCTGTTGTTGACAGATCATTAGTGTAGTAGTTAAGACACTTATTTCTTTTCATATGATCATGCATATTTTGACTGCAAGGTTTAAGAAAATATAATTGAGTGATGGTTAAAGATTAAAGATATTTCCAAAAGCTCTCACCAATTGGGAATGATGGAAGTTTCTAAATGAAACCGTAAAAATAATCACTTACCGACTGTGTGGGCGAAGACATACAGAATGCCTAATTATTTTGATCTGATGTACTTTTTGGCAGTAATGTATTGTAAAATATGCAGCAATTTCGGAATATGAAATACAGTTGTTCAGTACAGTACCTGGTGCACGAATGCGTGAATGCATAAGATACTGATATTTTTCTGACTGCAGGGGATGTAAAACCTTTAAGTTTTGCTAAAGCAACTGTGTGTTGTTGCTCAGTAGCCTGATGGAGCAGCCTCATTAGGCTACATTTCAGACTTTGTCAGTACTGACATTGCATAACTCAGAATACCGAGCAATGTGTCACAGAGTGATTTACGATCACTGTTCTTCACTGTACCCTTGGGTGCTTTAGTCTACTGAAAACTTTGGGTTTTGATGACTACATCAAAATAAACAGACACTGCCTGGGGCTTTCAAAAAGCCAGTTTACAGCTCAGAGGGATTTCTGATGCCACAAAGTCTTTGTGACCAGGTGCAGCCAAGCTACACTTCCCATACCAAAATTATTATATCCACCAAATTCTCTATCACACACACACACAAAAGAAAAATAAAGCAAAACATTTTTTTCTTTTGTATTTCTCTTTTTTGCTGTAAATCTTACCTTTGGATACTGCTGGACTGGAATAAGAACTCTTTCGGAGAGTTTAATATTTTTATTGCTGATAATATCTAGATATTTCTTCGTGCAACCATCTTTTCTCAGTTCATCACCTTCAAACTTCTCAATCTCTGCAGAAAAAGACAAAAAGAAAAGCAGATTGGATGAATGTAACTCAAATGATAAACACTGATCAACATGCGTGAAACACATAGTTGGATAATAATCTATAAATACCAGTAAACACACACAGTGCACACACACAGAGTATCCAGAGTTGGACCTCAGCTGGAAATCATTATCTTTCTGTAATTAGTCTTTTTAACAAATTTACAACATGCTTTTGGTTAAATGGTTACTTTTTAAACAACATTTTTCGGGGTGGAAACGTGTATTTGGGTTTCAGATGATTAAGAGTCTCAAAAAGAAGGAAAGGTGCACCATCTAAAGTACGCAAGATGTTACGCAAGGCCAACAGTGCCTTTAGGTCTTGTGTCTTTATTAACTTGTTAGGGCTACTGCTTGCAATCAGTAAAGGGCAGGTCATGCAAATTTAAAGGTTTTAAAATACTCTTACTCTTTAAACCTTGTCCTAACAATCATAAGTCACTGGCTTTTTTAAGAGGCTGCCTGGCACTCTGAAAATTAAAATAACTGTTGGTCACAAAGAATGGGAGGGCAACCAGGTGGCTTTTTCTTAAATTCTGAAGGTGATTAGAAAATTACAGTTCAGAGGAGTAGAAGAGGTCAAGATGAACTATGGAAGAACTTTCTGAAAGAATCACTCTTAGAACTCTTATAGACAAAAGTCAAGATCCCTGTTATTTAAAAAGATTCAGCAGAGCGGTGGTGCTTTGTTTCAGATACAGAAATGTGATTTTCCCTCTCTCAAAAACATTTTTCTCGTTTTCTCTCTAACAAAAAATCTGCATTAGGGGTTTGAAGCATGTTGTGTGGGACACATTTAAGTGTATACTTTTTGCATCGTTTTTTAAAAGGATGATGTCCTTTGCTGTACAGCAGTGTTCACTGATCGTGCTTTGGATTAAATTTTGCCATGACCTTCAACGTGCCCCGCCTCAACGTCTTTGATAATCACCACACAGACTTGAAAAGCTCAGTGCATGCTGGCATGATGGACCAATTATACCTTTAATTTCCCAATAAGTTTAATCTTTGAAGAAGGAAGAATAAAAATAAAAGCCCTGAAACTTGAAAGGAATCAGGTTTGCTGGCAACAAAAATAGTTGTGACAGTAGCTATAGTGGGACGTTCTATAGAAATCTTTGTTAGTTTTTAACAATATTAATGCCATTTCTCATTATTAACTTCTAACTGGAAATCCATGGAAGTGCAGCATTGACACAAACAGAACATTTGAACAGATAATCAGAAAGGTTTGAGCACACCTGCTTATTCAAATGAATTTGTTTTATGTGTCCAAACCTTTAGCTGCTATACTGTACATAAGTGCTTTCTCCTTCAGTGAGGCTGAAAAAGGACTGTACTACGTAAAGCCAGTAAGATAAGCAAAGCCCAGACGGCTAATGCTTTCCACTGGGAAACGACTGTGCCCGAAACCTCTTGTTGAAATCACAGGTAAACAGACTGGAAGACCCCTCTAACCTTTTATTCCCATCAGCTGAGCTGATTCACATCTCCTTATGTGACACTTTGCACAAGACAAGTGTCCCCAGATACCTGGAGCTTACAAAATATCCCCATTATAAAAACAACCCTTTGCCCAGAGAAATAATCAAACCCAATCTGTTGTGTGCAAACACAGAAACCCTTTGAAATAGCTCTGCTTCACAAACAAAATGAATATATTTTATGGTGTCAACTCCTGAAATCTCAGTATAGCATCTACAGATTAGGGGGACACAGTGGTTGAGCTACATCATTGTTGGGGCTCAGAAGTTCAAATGGCTTTGTTACTGTTTGTTTTTAGAGAAAATAGACTGGCACCGAACATGATACACTTTCCTCTGTCTGCACCATTTGACAAAGACATTACTTAATCCAACATTCTGCTATTTCCATCAACTGCACTTCTATTTAGCTGTGTGTGGGCATGTTAACACAAACACATTGACAACAAAAAAACAAAGCATTCGCTTTAAACCCTTTCTACGCAGAATGCACCCTCAAAGAGTCTAAAGAATAGCTGTCAACAGGGTGGTACTCCAGGGTACAATAAAAATACTGCTCACTTCAACGAATGCACCAGAACAACCCTATATTTGACTGGGAAAGCTTTTGAGTAATGATGCTACGGGAAATGTTATAAGTCTGCATAAAGAGATATGGGGTTATGTATGGGTCAAATAGCGCCATATTTCTCTCCGCATTTTATTTTTCCATCAATTGGCGCACACAAGGTAGTCTTGGTAGAACATCAGCTCTAAGTACCAGCAGAGGTTTGCATTTTAATAAAACCAGCAGATCTGAGTTTCTGAGATTGGATTAATTTGAAATGATAATTTCTTAAAACAAGGAGCACATTTAATTCTGTAAGTGAATTTATAGATTGTCCAAGAGTGAGAGAGAGTTAGAGAGAAAAAGATGGAAATGAGCACACCTCTATAATCCTTGTTGAACATGTGAGAGGAACCTGCAAAGGCCCAAAGATTAAGGACACTAGGATGTGCTTTGAAAGTCACTGGTTTAGGTCATCGTGCGGAACCATCCATCCATTCATCCATTTTCGTAACCGCTTATTCCCTAATGGGGTCGCGGGGTGACTGGAGCCTACGCCTGTAGTCAGTGGGCGAGAGGTGGGGTCACCCTGGACGGTCCGCCAGTCCATCGCAGGGCCAGGATTTCAATATTTTCTTTTTCGAAAAAGATTAAAAAAGATTAAAATTGCTGGCTTTGGCCAAGAATGACACAGCATCAAAAGAGACTGATTAACTGCTTCATGTATCCTGGAGATAATTGGGGAGGGCAAGAAATTCATGTAGAACTGTATTCACAAATAAATGTGTGCTTTTTTTTGTGGGGCAGTAAAGTATAGATTTAATAAGACTTGTAAAAAATTATCTGACGTCTTGGAAAACAATGTCTCATTTTTTAAAGCAATCTGCAGAAAATTGGAATCATGTAAAAAAAGAGCAAAAAACAAAGCAAAACAAAAAACGTGACATTCGTGCAAAATAAATCAATTTGCTGAGAGGAAACACTTGTTGCCGTGGACTGCAGCGAAATCATTATCTTTCACAACTTGTCCTTGCTTCATTGGATGCTCTACGTTATTTTGCAGAAAGGAAAACAACACAAATAGAGGTCCCCTCCTGTGCTAGAGCGTTCATCTTTACAGAGTCATGTGTGTGTAGCTCGACAACACAAAAAAGAGCAGAAATGGGTCCGAATTATTTGCTGGAGATGAGATGTTTGATGTACTGCTCGGCTGTTTATCCTTGTTTTATTGGATTCCAGTTGTTTGTTTGCTATAACGCCCATGCCAGTAAAGCATCCACTTTGTTCTTCTGCTGTGCAGGAGCCCATTTATTAAATGTGTGTGCTTGCAAGTACATGATGATTCTGGCAATATCATATTGTCTTTTGGGTCTCTGCGGTAAGGTGGTGTTTTCTGATGGGTCGACGGAGAAATGAGAACCCAGAGAAAACAGCCATACAGTGATAAAATGAGACACCTTAATGAATCCAATCAGCATTAATTTCTTCCGACACAGGTCTGATTAATCTCCACACTGCTCCACTGTCATGCCACACAGGGATTTGATGAGATAAAACAGAGCATGAAGATGCATATCATCACACCCAGTAGAGCAAACCCAGGACTGCTCTGGAATCTGACATATGCTTTGTGTAGAGTAATACTGCACACAGTAAGCATCCTTTCTTGGCTCTGTCACCTCCTTTATTTTTTTCGCAAAGTATGCAAGTATGAAAGACTGAAAACATCAAATAACCCCTGAAACTGATGGACAAGCATTAAAGAGTCTTTTTTTACTCCTCCCGCCTCCCCTAGCTGGGCTATGCATTCTACTTCTCTGGAAAGTTGTTTGGTTATTAATCAGTTCGCTTCATCCTTTGTTGATATCCAAATAATACCAAATGTTTTGTTCATACAAAGGTAATCCAATCAACACTGCATAAAATTAAAAGGTTGAATTATTTGTTGATTTCTTCTGGCTACTGAACAGTACTTTTACAATAATGACTTCTCACTGGTTACAAAAAATAATCAGTGTAATTACTCTTCAATAACTGATTTTTCATTCACATTAAACAATAAAAAAAGACGTAGTAAGAGCACTCAGCCTAGAAGAGACGACCAGGTAGGGAGAGACAACTGAGGTATACAATTAGCTTTGGCTCTTTTGTCTCTTGACTGATGAATAGAAATACATTGAGTTAGGATCTAGACTTCTTTGTTTGGCCTGGGGCTGTTTAGCCGTTTTTAACTGAGCTGCACCAAGGTAATACAGCAGCTGACAGGGGGCAAAAGATTTAATTCTTCAAAGTAATTATACTACCATCTTCAAATTTTCTGCTGAAAGCAAACTGCTGGAAAGTAAAGCGAAAATAATTACATTTCCACGCAATTTACATATTGATAAGTTGTAATCTTGATGGAGTTTCAATTATTTTTCACATAATTTTGGCCTAAAACGAATGAAAAGCATTGTGTGTATGAGATCATCCTCTATTATTGTATCTTTACTGCATTTGGTATACTGTGTGTTCACTTTAATGTGCATTGACTTTCTTGGTTAAACTCATAAGGCAGTACTTGGGACTTTTGTGGGAGATAATTAATAAAAATATATTTTTAGATTATCTCCCACAAAAGAATGCAGATTCGGTTAATTAAGTTAAATTCTGTTTTACTTGTATAGCACTAAATCACAACAAATTCAAAGATACTCAGGTACCTTTCAAACCAAATGCAATCACATTCTGATACAATCGTAATCCAAATATATTTAAACAATGAACCATTTAAAATCTGCACTACTGCCTGGCTCTTTTTTCTTTATCTAGAACTTTCCTTTTATATGTGAACATTCAAGAGTGTGTAATTGAACCTGTTATCTAATATATATTGTCTGACCACTGCAGCTTTGGCTCACACTTGTTTTTGTTGTTTGAAATGCCTCTGACCTTGGAATTTAATCTTATTCGACCCATGCACTCACTGTAAGTCACTCAAAGCGTCGGCTTAATGCGTAAAAATGTGCTTCAATGTCTCTCTTTCCTCAGATGTCATTTTTGCATCCTTTTGATAGGTCACACCACACGGGTTGCCATTTATCTCACTCTACAAGCTGGGTCATTGCTGGAGACTGAGCCGGCATAATGCGCACACACAAATTGTGAGCAACACTTTGTGAACAACAGAGAGGTAGATAAGTCCAAATTCATTTTCATGGACTAAATGGCACACAAATCCATTTAAAAATTCAGGCTAAAGAAAAAGTTCCTTAGATGCATGGAATGTAATCTATTATGCATATTAAACATGGAGTCATAGACTGTCACTAAAGTAGTGCTACAGTACGACAAGTCCAAACACTAAGCCAGCAAATTAAAAAACTACAATGGTACTTGAGAGTAGGTTTCTCCACACCAAAGCTTTTTCTTTCTTTTGATTCATATATACAGGTTCCATAGCCTTTTCTAGCAGGATCGGAGGGCTGGAGCCTATCCCAGGGGTCACTGGGCGGGAGGCAGGGTCCACCTTGGACAGGTCCCCACACAAGGCCACAAAGAGATGAATGAGACAGCCAATTCTAACACATACACTCCAACAGGCAATTTAGAATAACAAATTAAACTAAGATCTGGACTGTGGGAGAAATCCAGAGTACCTGAAGAAAACCCAAATATGAGGAGAACAAGCAAACTACACAAAGAAAGACCCCCGGCTGAGATTTGAACCAGAAACCTGCTCTCTGTGAGGCAACGGTGTTAACCACCGCACCCCCATGCAGCACCTTATTTGACACTTATTGTAATAACGAACAAACACAAAATTGTACATTCCAGCAGCTCAGATACTCTATAACTTTAACCTTGAACAGTTTCACTGATGTTCAATCCGCATAGAATGGGAGAATATTGTTAGAGTGAGAAATAATCATATAAGTTGAATCGTTTATTTCTGTGTATTCTTTGCACCTGCTTCCAATGCAGACTGCCAGAATGTTCAGCCTTTTCCCACTTTGTCTTTCTCTGCCTCATGATTTTTTCACAAGAGAACTGCTATCATCAGAATCATTTGTCAGCCCATGAAAATGTGAAGCTGCGTCATGTTCCTGTGGCATTCCCAGGTATTCCAAAGTCTTTCTCTGCAGTGTCGCACAATCTGAAGGCTGCAGTTTTTTCTTTTTGTAAACTTAACAATAGAGAAAAACTAAATAAAATATGGATGCCATTTAGATGTAAGGGATGAAAAAAAGGTACATTTTACTTAAATTTGTAGCAATTGTGCGGCTGTGTCTTTTCTATCTATCTATCTATCTATCTATCTATCTATCTATCTATCTATCT